CCTCGTCATATATAAAAACAAAAAGAAAACTTTGGTTTGTGTATGGCAATAGAGATGGTTCTATTGTTTAAAGATGAATTAAATCTACCGATTTAATTCATCTTTACAATAGAGATCTCAGAACTTTGTGTAAAACAGAACACCAGATCCACTTTAGATACACGGCCATTCGCACCAATATCAATTGTTATAAATTCTTTCTTTGCATTAGCTAGTGCCATTAATACGATACTAAAGTAACTTTTATAGGTGAAGTATAACGATCCAGAGTTTTCAGGTTTGTATCTTAACATGTTTCCCATCTAAAACTCATAAACAATTCTCAAAATCTATCCTATATATCTATCCTAACTCCAAACTCAGCTGTGATGTCAGTCCATTCCTCCTTTGATGGCTTACAAAATGAATCTGACGATCAATTATTATATTTTTTATTGTTTTTTGCAGGTGATCACAATGAAGCATTTTATGAGTCATCATCTCCAGATCAAGAAACGACTACAACTATTTCTTCTATTGTACCTGCATCAAAGCCACTTGAAAGACTGTCCTCGCTTAATTAGAAGAAAAGTGTTATTAAACAATAAAATTAATTGTTGGAATGAGCATGTAGTTATTTAGCAGAACCAGTTAGTTCACAAGTTAGTGCTGGTCGATAAATTGCATTCGAATGGGCAAAAAAGACTACACCCAACTCAAAGGTTATGCATCATAAAGGCTATTATCGATATACTTCTTGAAGCAGAACTAGAAAATTATAGTATAATAGATTACAATAGATACTCAGTTCAAATAAATGTCACATGTATTTCATCACCTGAGTCATCTTCCTTTGACATGCACTTCCAGGTCACACCTTCTCCCAAATCATCTCATTACTCAGGCACACCATCTCCCAACTACAAGTCCTCCCAAATCAAAGCTCCTCTCGAACAATCTTCCAACTATATGTCCTCCCAAGTCACATCTTCTCCCGCACAATCTCCCAACTATATGTCCCAAATTACAGCTCCTCCTCGTCCTCGGACCTCGTTGACACTGGTTGCTGTGACAGAAATCCAGTTGGGAGAACACTCAACAATAAGCCCAACACTCAACTCAACCTTTATCATTCAAACGGACATACCATAGCAATAGATGCCAGGAACGATAATACTATTACGCGCTCAAATCGACAATACACTAGCGCCATCTAGTGTCAGGAACGAGAGCGAGGGGAGCATTGAGAAAATGACATCACAAATTACTCAACCGACAGCGCCTAGTCGAAACTCGAACGCTCGGTACCTTGCGCGTGTTTACTTGAACATTCTGGATATTTCTTTGCTAATTTAAATATATAGGCGCTGCAAGATGCGATCGAAGTAGTGTTGATTTGGCGAAACAAGCGAAGCTTCGGAGCGGAATTAAGTGAATTAGTGTGTTTAATTATTAGTGTTTTTAGTTTTAATTTGTGTAAAGTAAATTAAAGTGTTAATTTAGGTAATTTTATCGGCAATTTTTATTGTCACGAACCCTAAGCTCGTAACAATTGGTGTCAGAAGTGGGATAAAATAATGCCGATTTTACCTAAGGAGGAAACGGAGGGTGTCCGTACCCGAAGTCAACGCTAGCAGGAGACGGACCAACGAAGATTTGGTGGTGCAACGCCGCAGACGTCGGAGGGCCAGCCACCGGCTGCAGGCCCGTCGGTAGCTCCTACATCTGCAGCACCTGACTTAGGTGTTCTGATGGTGATGCTGCAGGAGCAGGCTCGCCGACAGGAGGAGCAGGCTCGCCGACAGGAGGAACAGGTCCGCCAGTTGGAAGAGCAGTTGCGGAGCGGACAAGAGGAACAGGCCCGCCGACAGGAGGAACAGGCCCGTCGGTTGGAAGATCAGCAGGCGGAACAGGCTCGTCGGTCGGAAGAGCACATGCTCCTCATGAAGGACCTTCACGCTACCTTTGGGAAAGAGATAAGGGACGTGAAAGATAGGGTTGCTCAACACGACAACCGCCTGTCGGAAGCTGAAACCCGAATCGAAGAACATGAAACCCGAATCAACCATGTGAACAATCGGGTTGACAACGTGATGGCTGACGTGAAGAAAACGCTAAACGACCTCAAACTTGGGGATGGAACTACAGCTCCCGTAGTAGCTGCAGCACCTTCGCTACGTGGGTTCAAGGTGCCACCATTCGACGGGACTTCTTCCTGGTCAGCCTACAAAATCCAGTTCGAAGCTGTTATGAAGGCGAACGGCTGGAATAACAGTCAGGCAATGACTGCTCTCACACTAGGCCTGCGCGACCAGGCCTTAACAGTTCTGGAAGCTCTCGGGGAGGAAGTGACTTATGAGCAACTCCTTGAGGCATTGGAGGCGAGATATGGCGACGCTCACCTGGAACATGTCTTTCGTGCGCAGCTTAAAGATCGCGTGCAGCGCATCAACGAAAACCTGCAGCAGTGGGCTCTAGAGGTGGAGAAGCTGGTGCGGAAAGCATACCGGTCTGTACCTGCGCTCATTGAAGGGAACCTGGTGCAGACATTCATCGACGGCATCCGCGACCTGGAAGTCAGAGCTGCTGTGAGGCTCGGGCACCACGAGACGCTTAAGAACGCCTTGGCCCATGCACTGGAAGTGGAAGCCGTGCGGCAGGATCATCGTTCCCATCGCGTCAGGGAGGTTGCAGCAGCTACAGTCCGCGATCGCAACAAAGGATACAGCCCTAGGTGCTATGGCTGTGGGGAAAAAGGCCATCTTCGAATCAGCTGCCCTAAGCGAACCGTGGAAAGGAGAGTTGATCGATCTCGAGAGGGTAGTGCAGCTAACGACACTGCCTGGCGGCGACAGGATCATCGTTCACCTCACGCTAGGGAGGTTGCAGCAGTTACGGTTCGCGACCACAATAAAAGATACAGCCCTAGGTGCTATGGCTGTGGGGAAAGGGGCCATCTTCGGTCCAGCTACCCTGAGCACACCCTACGAAGGGAAGGTGAACGGTCTCAGAAAGGAAGTGCGGCTAACAGCACCGCCCAGCAGCAGCAGGAATACGACTTTACTATCAGACACTGCAGCGGGAAATCTCACGGCAACGCAGATGCATTGTCAAGAAGACCTTGTCCTGAAGATTGCAACCATTGTAGTAGGCAAGAGAGTAAGGAGGTGGTATCCGTGAGGATGCTCAGGACAGACCACCTCAACAACGGGTGGAAGGACAACCTACGACATGCACAGCAGGAAGATCCGGACATCAAGCCGATTCTGGGATGGATGAAGGCCCGTGCTACCAAGCCTAAGTGGAGGGACGTCTCAGCGATGAGTTCAACCACGAAAAGCTATTGGGCCCAATGGGACAGCTTGCTGATTCAGGATGGAGTCCTGTGCCGTAAATGGGACAATGGTCGAAGAGACAGCTGTCGTTTGCAAATGGTTGTCCCTAAAGCTAAAGTGCCGAATGTTCTACAGTTGTGCCATAATGGTCGTTCAAGAGTCCATCTGGGAGTTAAACGAACTCTACTGAAGGTCCGAGAACAGTTTTACTGGGTCCATTATCGTGACGATGTCGAGGATTGGTGTCGTACATGTACAAGTTGTGCGGCCGAGCGGGGACCTCGGACACGTAGTAGAGTAGCACCGAAATTGTACAATGTTGGTGCACCACGGGATTGTGACCAGGATCAACGATGTAACCTACCGGATACAGAAAGGCGCAAGAGGGACTCCTAAGATCGTCCATGTGGATCGCCTAGCGCGTTATTATGGGGCCGATAATGCTCGGGACGAGCATGTCTTAGGAGGGGGCAGTATTACGCGCTCAAATCGACAATACACTAGCGCCATCTAGTGTCATGAACGAGAGCGAGGGGAGCATTGAGAAAATGACATCACAAATTACTCAACCGACAGCGCCTAGTCGAAACTCGAACGCTCGGTACCTTGCGCGTGTTTACTTGAACATTCTGGATATTTCTTTGCTAATTTAAATATATAGGCGCTGCAAGATGCGATCGAAGTAGTGTTGATTTGGCGAAACAAGCGAAGCTTCGGAGCGGAATTAAGTGAATTAGTGTGTTTAATTATTAGTGTTTTTAGTTTTAATTTGTGTAAAGTAAATTAAAGTGTTAATTTAGGTAATTTTATCGGCAATTTTTATTGTCACGAACCCTAAGCTCGTAACAATACCTATCCCTTTAGGTAAAATTTGTTTACTAGTATGTAAAAACTTCACTAATCAACCATGCTCAGCTTTGGAAAAATCTAATGGACTGTAGGCAAGCTAGGGAGACCCTGCCAGAAATAAACAGTCGCTTGCCACAGACCAGGATAGCAACATGTGCTATCACAGGACGTGGCTCCTTTAACAATAATTAATTTACTATAGATGTTACAGATAGTCCTATGTCCAGGGCTTGTATGGAGGAGGAAAGGGCGGCCGACGTGTTGCTGGTATGTCCGGAGTTACATTACAGGGTTAAACATCTCGGCACAACGAGATTTTCCGAAGTTGGTCACAACATCAAATTTTCAACAAAAAAAATCTTGGGAGATTTCATGGCTCGAATAATCACATTTCTTCCTACCCATACGAAAAATATGCGCTTAGACGTGGAGTTGCAGAAAACAGCCCGTCGTAAACTAAACTAAACTCAACCTAACTCTCAGCTCAACTCGAGGCACAATTGACGCACAGATGATAATCACGAGGATTGTTTGTTTATCAGTTTGTTCATTTTACAATACTACACATTGAATAAAACTATTATTTACGGATTTTATCGCGTTTAATTACTACTTTACTTATTTTTACTATCCCGTCGTTTCGGGTGCTTTACAGCACCCATGGTCACGGGGGGGGGAACGACTGAGATGTTTGACGTCCATACGTCGTTGATGGCATATCCCTTAGTATACTCTTACATGATTAATTATCTCATCATTGTGTGTTATTGTCTCTCATCACGTTCACTTAACACCATAGAGTCAGTTATTGCATTTGAAGTATTATTTTTATTTTAGATTTTGATTATGGTGTAAAAGAAGAGGAGGGATCGTTGGAAAATGCTTTGGAAACTGAAAGCAACTTAGCTGAATTGCAATTAGTATGCCTTGGAACGAATTTAGGAAAAAGTAAGGTGAAAAAGAAAAGTGGAAGTAAAAAGAAAAATACAGGTTTGTATGTATTTTGTCTATGAATTATAATAATTTTATCATAAATTTCCCAATGCCACGCGTGAGTCCTTCCTGGCCACAGTCAAACTGAGCCATAAATCAGGTAAGAAAAACCTTCCTACTTGCAATTATATTGTCGAAGTGCGACCTAGCATCAGGAATACCCTTACCAACCAAGGACGAATATATATAACTTGAACCTTATGCCCGGTTAGAGACTTTGCAATAGTAACAAGATGCTTTAACTGCCAGCAGTTTGGTCATTCAGCCAAATTTTGTCGAGAAAGTAGCCCTACGTGTAACTACTCTGGAGAGCTCGGGCATTCCTTTGAGGAATGTAATAACAGATCGCAAGCCCCCATTTGCGCAACATGCAAACGTTTTAAAAGAAAACGTGGCCAAGAGAAAAAGAAAACTGGTGATGAAAGCTGTCGAGCACGTAAATTCGCAGAGGACAAATATATAAACTTCATAGACTATGAGGGGGCCTAAGGGCGCCGCGTATTATTTTATTTACTTAGCTCTTAAACACTAGTTTTAGTTTATCTGTAAGCTTTATTATGACGAATCGATTACTCAATGACCTACACAACTTTTTTGTGTCTGACGCTAAAACATGTAATGTTGAAGTTTGAAGACACTTCCTCCCTCGTCCTGAAAATAAGTTAATCTTGCTTACACAAAACATTAGAAGCATAAATCGGAACATAACCTGAGAAAAACCTGAAAACTGAGAAAAACGTTAATGAAAATGACGGTTTAGTAATCTATGTTAAAAATAATTTAAAAGTAACTGTGACAGAGCATATATTCCAGGATAATAATTGCTTAATCATTAGAATTGATTCAGAGACCATTGTTAATGCAATTTACATACCTCCTTCTCAAAATATTGATAGATTTCTAGAGTCCCTTTGATATTACTTTAAACAAACTTAGCTAAAAATATCATCCTAACTGGTGGCATAAATGTTTTACATTATCCTTGGGAAATCAGCTGTATAAGAAATAGACAAACTACAATAATTATAATCAGAACTTTCTCCGGATAATTTAATGTTTTCTGCTACTTATTAAAGATATAGAAACTTTTGCAATAAACTAAAAAAAACCTCAAAATACAATATGATAAAAATGTTTCAAAAAATACCTTTAGTTCAAAAACCTTTGGACCCCCATTTGAACTACTGTCATTAGACAAAAGCCCAAACGAAACGACTAATAAAGTAAATAATTTTTTTATTAATGTTAGCAAAAAATAGCAGAAAAAGCTTCAAAATTAAACAACACTTGAAATTCAATTTTTATGCCCACATCATTTTCTTTAAGTTAAATCCTTTTGTATTGTTAAATACCGAATTGATGAGATTTTAAGTATAATAACTGGCTTAAAAGAAGATTGTGCAGTTGGATGGGACAATATACATAATAGTACATAATGCTTTTTTACTATTAGGTATATTGGTATATTTTTATTAATACTCAAAAGATTTAAAGATTTACTAGCTGCCCTATTAACACATATCTTTCAATTATGCCTATTTAAAGGTATTTCCCGAAAATGCTTAAAAAAGCTGTGGTTTCTCCTATATACAAAGCTGGCGATAAAAACTTTAACTAGGCTGATTTCAGTTTTATCTGGTTTATCTGGAAACTAACAATTTGCTATCGGACAGACAATTTGGTTTTAATCCTAAGAAATCATCTAATGATGCCTTGCACCAATTGACAGATTATGTCACAAGTAATCTTGACAATGGTATGCACTCAATTTGGATTTTTTCAGACCTTGTCAAAGCATTTGACTCTATCTCGCCCTATAATATTACAAAAGCTTGAAACACTTGGCATAAGGGGAACTCAACTACAACTTTTTACCGATTACCTTAGTGATCACTCTCAATGTGTAAAAAACGGTGGATATATAAGTAATGAATTACAAAACAGCTATTATGGCATCCCACAGGGCAGTATCCTGGGGCCTACATTGTTCCTAATTTATATAAATAACTTATGCAATCTCCTACTTCAAAATAGTGTCATAAAGTCGTATGCGGATGATACAACTGTGCTGTTCTCAGCTAAATCACGTGATGAGGCTTATAAATACACTCAGCAAGGCTTTAACATTGTATCTAATTAGTTTCCTAACAATTCCCTAAATTTAAAAGCAGCTAAAACACAATATAGGTATGTTATTTTAAATTAGAAATAATAACATGCCTACTCAGCTAAATATTTACGCTCATAACTGTAGCTCGTATGATTACGTTGCATGTTCATGTCCTACATTAACAAAAACAATATAAATATCTAGATATCACGCTTGATGCAAATTTAAATTTTCGCAAGCACATCGATTTACTTTGTGCTAGAATTCGAAAATAATACATATTTTAAATATCTCCGTAACATCGCTGACTTTAAATTGATAAGACAGGTCTATTTAGCTTTGTCACAGCGCTGACACTCTTTGTACGTGAGAGCTTAAGGTGGCTCAAGTCGCGGGCTCGAACTCATTGGTGGGCGCGGCCAAAAAGCACGTTGTCTCACCTGGCATCGTGCCCGACAGAGATAGTACCAGTGAAGAGCAGTTAGAACGCACGTCTTGTTCGTACGGCGTTCCGAACCGTTAGAACAAAAACGAAGTTACACGAACACGATGCACACATACATACCACCCTATTCTGTGCCGCTCGACGCTTGCTAAGAAATCAGCAGTACCTACCTACAAACTCGTACTAAATTATTAGGCACTGCGCTACTTTATCGCTTTATACTATACCTCTATGGCTCTATAGATACCTAATATAGATTGCTTATTTTATTATGTTTTGTTTTCCCCGGGTGGTCATGCAGCGATCACTCAAGAGTTCACGACGCCGAAGCATGAACTGGAACAGTCATCGCAATTTATATCCGTACTAGCTGTTGCCAGCGGCTTCAAACGCGTGAACTCGAAAATTATCCCACAGGAACGAAATACCTGAATAAACGGTATCAAAAAATGTGTTATTCCAGACCAGGTATAACCTATCTCTGAGCTAAATATCATCCAGATCCCTTCAGCTGTTCTGGCGTGATTGAGTAACATACATCTATCCATCCAAACTTTCGCATTTATAATATTTAGATAATAATTGTAATTAGTTCTGCCTACCTATAAATTGTTTTCAGAAATACTTACCTGTCTTCTTACTTTTTTTATATACACACAATATCACTAGATGTAAACACATGTTTTTATCAAGACAAGTGACCCGTCAAGACTGTTTCCTTAGTACCGACGTACTTAGGCAGGTAGTAGTAGGTAGGCAAAAACGATTACTACTGAAAAACTAAATAGGTACCTACCTAACATTCAAATAAAAATATTCTCAAAAAGCTCAACCAATTCAGAATTTAATTTTGTTAAAAGAAAATTGGTCAAATAAAAAATAAAGGATGAAAATAAAGCATATGGGAATATAAAAATAAATCGTATTTATTTGAATAAAACTATTATTTACGGATTTTATCGCGTTTAATTACTTTAATTTATTTTTATTATTATACCGACGTTTCGGGTGCTTTACAGCGCCCATGGTCACGGGGGGGACCATGGGCGCTGTAAAGCACCCGAAACGTCGGGATAATAATAAAAATAAATTAAAGTAATTACACGCGATAAAATCCGTAAATAATAGTTTTATTCAATGTGTAGTGTTCGCGTAAATTTAAGAAATCGTATTTATTTGTTATTTCGAGTTTTACAAAAAAAGCATAATATTTACTGGAGAGAATTATTTTATTATTATAATAGTACATGATATTCCCTTTAAAATGACACCAATATGAATAATATCTTATATCTATATCTACAAATAAATAAAATTTAAGTGTCTGTTTGTAATGTTAAAATAACAGCTTTTGATTTCAATAGAGTAGAAAATTTCAATAGAGAAGATGGTTGGGTGCTACCATCTGCTTGGGATCCTATAATTAACAAAATTAAACCCAAACCCAAGCATACCACTGCAAGACTTCATGATACTATAAGCTCGTTTTGCGTAAATCGGACCAAAAATTAATATTAAAAAACTGAAGGTAGCCGGACTAACTATGACATTGGGACGTCAAACATCTCAGTCCCCCCGTGACCATGGGCGCTGTAAAGCACCCGAAACGTCGGGATAATAATAAAAATAAATTAAAGTAATTAAACGCGATAAAATCCGTAAATAATAGTTTTATTCAATAACAGCTTTTTATTAAATGCATATGAAAGTACTAGTAACAAAAACACATTTTTTAAAATTTCAAACACCACAATCTCTAATTTTTTACTCTGCTATCTTCAGCGCTGTACACGAACGGAACGATGTCGTTGAGAGCCGTGGTAGCTCACATGGTTAGCGCTCGTTATAGGTATCACAGTACGGGAGCAACCCGGGTTCGATTCCCACTGGCATCAATGAAATTGTTGCGTGCTGATTTAGCTATCAGTTGGAAAGTCTGTTTTTCTGGGCCGTTTTGTTTTGTTACACTGACATCTCGCAAGTCACCTAGGGACCTAGGAGGTTGTCGGTTGCTTATTTTTTATTTTTCTTTAAAATTTTCGTCGGTAAAACAACATATTTATAAAAGTAAAAAAAAGTAAAGTTACAGCCTATACGTCCCACTACTGGGCACAGGCCTCCTCTAATTTCTGAGAGGGTTTTAAGGCAAGGAAATGTCCGCCACGCTGCCTCAATGCGTGTTGACGAACTTCACATTTCTTCGAAATATATATTTTTTAATTTCTCAGACATGCAGACCCGAGTTCGATACCGGCGGGATCGAACTCGGGTCTGATTCGGGTCGGGGCGGGAAATTGTTAATTGCAATTGTGCTGATTTACCACGTGTTCGGCGGTGAAGGAAAACATATTGAGGAAACCTGCACGTCTGAGAATATAATTATAATCGAATGTAAATCAAATTGACGTAGGTAAGTACAGATAAAATTAGCGGAACATTAATATAATTTTGAGATCGTTTTTTTTTTTCAAAATTTTATTTATATATTCCTCTATTTTTGTCTGTGCTTATATCAATTTGATTTAATCCAAAAGTTCAAGCAGGGGTCAATGTAGCGTAGTAATTTAGAGCGCAGGTATAGCTATAATCATACGAACGTCACAGGCCGCAGCTGACAATGACGTCGAATAAAACTAGAATAAGCGCGCGTCACCGCGCATGCATGTGTGTGTAAGTGTCGTCCTCCCGCACCGCACCGAGGGAAAAATTATTCAGAGAGATGCACGATAATTCATATAAACACGCGCGCGTAAAAAATACGAAAAGGCCTTTGGAAGGAGGGGTCTTATGAAAAACCCACTGCATGAATCAATTACCAATAAAATTTATTGAATTCTTCGATAATTGAGCTGTGTCGGTACCGACTTTGTTTTGGAAATTTTACACTGCTTTTATTACTAATTTACGACCAAAGTTGTGTTAAAATTGGCAATAAAAACGAATCTTTGGTAGCTCGTAACTTTTTACTGACTTTTTATTTTACTATTCTGTTTCGGTACAGACAAAATTAATAATGAGACAAAACGATATCATGTTTAACTTTGGATGTACACTGTCAAACAGCGGAGTAAAACCCCCTCCGAAATTTCTATGGAAATAATGTCGACTAGTGTCACCTTAAGCGCCGGTGACCTTGAGTCGAAGCGTGTAACGCTAGGGTTGATATCGAACCGAAATGGAATATTATATACTTTTACCAAAGAAGATACATAGTAGGTATATGTCATATATTATGTAAACTTATGTATTTTGGTAGTGAAAGATACGTCCAATTTGAAATCAACTTTTATTAAATATCTTTATAAATGAGGAATATTAAAACTTCCGACAAAACCAAATATGAACGACAGTTAATGGTAATCTTAAATAATTAACCAACACTTAGTATGTCAGTACGTAATAATCAGTATTACCTACTATCCTTTAAAAATTAATTTACTCTTATATATTTTTGAATTTTACAAATATCGGTACTAACCCATCTTTACTACTAGCCCTCGACCAGGGCAGTCGGCGACTGCACGTTCCACGCCCCGCGCGCCTCTCAAGGCCCCCGCGTACATCCAGACACCCACACATAGCCGCAAGCGATTTTACGTGCACACATGCTTAAGTGTCGTTTCTTTTCGCGTAGTGTATATATTCTTTGGCTTTGTGTCAATCCAAACTCACTTATGGCATTACTTCCTGGGGTGGTGCTTCTAAAACAATATTGCTCCCAATAGAACGTCTTTAGAGAGCAGTTTTAAAGGTAGCCACTTTCCATCTATTCATTTTTCCTACACATAAACTTTAACTGTCATTTTTATCTGACATTTTAAAGAGAATTTTAAAAATCCATAGTCAGGACAAGGATGGACTTAGTTTCTGTAAATCCTCAAACCAAACACGCATTTGTCAACAGATCTTATATATTTGTAAGAGCATTTCTACATAACTAGCTCAACAAGTCACTAAAGATATTTAGTGTAAGTTATAAGAAATGTAAAATAATTGTAAGGGAATATCTGAATAAATTAAATTACGAACACACAGATAAGTTGTTAGAAATTTTAAAATAGTTTGCATTAATTGTAGATAACAAATAATTGTCATTTGGTTATTTTATTTATTATATAATATAGTTAAATTATATAAAAATATTTAGTGTCCTAAATTATTAAACTCAATAGTGTAAGTGATGGTCTGAAACACAGGTACTCAACCTAGTTCAGGCAGGTAGCTAATATTAACGTGACTTTTCAATTTTTATTTTGTAGATTCCACATTATTAAGCTACACATAGTTTTAATTTTTTATTATTGCTTGTTATTTTTATTAGACTTATTGTTACTTTATTTAATTGTAATCATATTTGTTCCTGTATGTAAACATGTGTAATTGGAAATGAAATAAAAAAAATATTATTTATTAATTTCAACATAAAGTTACCAGAGTTAAACATTGAGATAAGGATACTTTTAAAATATTTACAACAATTACAAACATAGCCGTCAGAATACTCTGGGTATATGCACTGGCTTCAGGAATCCATCCTTTACACGCTCCACACTGGATCCATCCCTCGACGTAGTCTTCGCAACAAACAACACAATAGTACTTCTCCAGCTTCCTTCCGTACGTTCGTTCCGATCCGTCCGTACGTTTTACTGCTTTACTTATTTTAGTTTAGATTTTTTGCGCTTTTGTAATTTGTATTTTTAAATTTACGATTGTTCTCTCTATACCGAATCAGTCAAAATTTCGATATAAATTTCAGATACCATTTTTTTTCACCTCTATTATACCAAATGATCTGAAAAGATAAATAATAGAATTACAAAATTATATGGAATAGCACGAACACTATTTGTCAAAATATACTTGTCCGGTACTAGGAAACCTGTTACTGTCCGGACTTACAGGGGAATAACATACAGTAGCATAATTTCGATTATAATAAAGTTTATTAATATATCCGCAAAAAATAAAATATCAACGTAAAGCGTACTTACCAATCATTGAAACAAAAGCACTATACCATATATATTTACTCTAAATAGTGGTTTATGACGTTGTAAATGTTCCTCGATGCAACGAATTCCCGCGGAAAATTAATAAAGTGTCACCTGTAAGTTGTATCGGGCAAGATTGACGCCGGGGATTCGTTCGTTGAGTTTGACGTCTTCCTATAAGCGAGTGCTAATAATAATTTTATTTCATGTTTCGATGTGATTTGTCAGGTACTATGAAGTGCTGTCCAGCGCTAGGGGGATTCCCTCTGGGCGTTATTATTCTACCATAGTAAAATAAGGCCTATTATAGTTCGTGCCAAATCGATTGAGAAAAACGGACGATGACCTCAGATATGAGCCGAGTGTCAAAAGGCGTAACTTACAAAATCTCAATTTAGATGTGATAACAATATTTAAATATTGATATTATTCACACTTCTAGGTCAGCACATATGTTTTTTTTGCAATACAACATATGTTTTGTTTTTTTGTTTCTTAAATAATATTTTCTGTGGTTCCTATAAACATCGTAAAATCTTACGATGTTTTGATGATCTCCACTTTTTTGGGCCGGCCCGCATGCACCGAATAAAAATAAAATTCTTATATAATATTGAAAATAAAGTTTTATCTTTTGAATAAGTATTAGGTTGTATACTAATTTATATGTGTTATAAATGAATGCTTTTTGTTGTTAAATGAATAAAGTACTTTATAACAATAGATGATTTTTCTTCTACAGCGATCTTTTACATAAATTTTTAATAATAGTTAATAAATATATATTATATCAATCATTATAAAAATAATAAAAAATCATTATAAATGAAGAAAGTACTACATATAAAAAGTGCCTATATATTGAAGGTTTTTAGCCCCTGGTTAAACGACCGAAAGGTAAATGTCCGTTTTTTTCAAGCGATTTGGCACGAACTATAAAATAGAACTATAAAAAATAGCAAGGTTTTTAAAAAGGTTTAATTGTGTTTTTCTATATGGCAAATGTTACAATTTTTAGTAGAGAAAATAGAAATGTTAGAAGCTATACCAAGCCAGTTATTTTTATTGAAATCTGTAGATCATATTGGATATTACTCATTTATTTCATTTTCCCTTAGCTAGGCCTTATTACCCGCAGCTACTTTACAAAAGAAGTATAGTTTCATTCTTACTTTCTTATGTATAGAGCTCAGGATATAATTTTTTCTCTGTGTAATTTATGATAGCTAAAATATGAGTATCTTTACGGTCATAGTAAAAACAGGACATTTTCTTATGTATTTACCTTCCAGAACTTTGTCACCATCTAAAAGAGATTTACGGTTTAGTTTGAATCTTTATGTTATCTTAAGTTACTCGGAGGCTTCAAAATCTATGGCATAACCCTTAGTATACTCTTACGAGAAAAATTACCTCATCATTGTGTGATGGTGTCTCTCATCACGTTCACTTAACACCACAGAGTCAGTTATTGCATTTGAAGTATTATTTTTATTTTAGATTTTGATAATGGTGTAAAAGAAGAGGAGTGCTTGTTGGAAAATGTTTTGGAAACTGAAAGCAACTTAGCTGAATTGCAATCAGTATGCCTTGGAACGAATTTAAAAGAAAGTAAAGTGAAAAAGAAAAGTGGAAGTAAAAAGAAAAATATAGGTTTGTATGTATTTTGTTTATGAATTATAATAATTTTATCAATATTGATCAAACTAATTCGATTTATATTATATAATATGTCACTAGTATATTTAATTTTGATGTCTAGAACTATAGCTTAAGAGAGTTTTCGTCAGTTTTATCCTCCAAACTAGTTTAAAAGAAGAGTCCCACTGGGTCTTGTGCTGGTTCTTTCCAAGACAGAGGTTTTTTCCAAACCAGTGGTAAAATTAAAAATTGACTCAATAAGAATTACATGTAATCTATATTGAATAAAATTGACTCAATAAGAATTACATGTAATCTATATTGAATAAAAATGATTCTATTTTAAACAAAATTTCCCATACTCATAATTGTGAGCAGCATAGTATTTCTCGTACTTTATTTTATGGTACCGTGAAGTGGAAGTGTAAGAATATCAATTACCCCATATCATCCTGTGGGTGTCGTGAGAGGCGACAGAGGGAAACTAATGGAACAGGAGATGGGCAGCAGCATCTTCATAATAACGAATAAATATAAAAAAACTGCGGTTGCCAACTTGCTTATCGCTTGCGTAGCAACTATACCAAATACCTCCTTTACGACCTTGACCAGTTCTCACCGCCCAGAACTTCGAACGATAAATAAATAAACAATATGTATTTTTTATTTATTTATCGTTTTAATTTATTCACAAGAAATAAGGTACAAAGATGTTCTTATAAATTAATAATGTATCACATATTTCACCAATTTTGGTATATGAAAACGTATGGTCAGAATATACGAAATTTAAGTAAAATTAAACGTGCATCAGTTTACAATTTTAATATTAATCCTTTAAAACACGATCAAATAAGAAACAGCGTTTAGCAGTCAATAGAAACGTTCTTTTATTTTTAGCAGTTCATCTACCGAATGAAATTGTTTTTCCAAAAGCCACTTTAATAAATTACGTCTAAATCAATTATAATTTATAATCTAGTTGCCTTATTTCATTTGGGATTTTATTAAACACTTGAATAGCCATCACATAGCAATTTTTTGAGTACAGGCTAGTTTTTAATGTAGGTAATATAATTTTATCTGGTTATCTGGTACTATATGTTACTGTATCTTTTAGTCTAGTAAAACAATGAGGATACTTTTTTACGAATATTAAAAGTTCAAAAATGTACATGGATGGTAGCGTAAGAACGGATGAGTTATCTAACGTCACCCCCTGTTCGGACGGTCGTTAGATAACTTATCCACGTGCACATTGCCATTCCGCGTTGTTACTTGCGTAACGATGCGGAATGATATAAAAACTCTTTTTACAGCGGGCCCTGAGGCCTATGAAGCTGTAAAAGCCAAAAGGCGAACAGCATTAACATCATCAGACGCCAGTCTCCATTACGAGGCGTCTACTGGGGAGGCCTATGTACGGCAGTGGACCTCCGTAGGGTGTAACGGTGACGGAATATTATGGAGAAATGCGTACGCATATCCGGCTCGCGGGGTCAAGATCTGGTTATGTCGGACTCGCATCCACTGTGGGGTTGATTAAAACTACTTTTACGGATTTTATCGCGTTTAATTTTAATTAAATAAAAATTAAAGGTAGTTATAATCAATGACCTACGGAACCGAGACATGGTCCTTCACTGCTGGCCGTATGAGGACGCTCAAAGTCGCTCAGCGAGCTATGGAGAGGGCTATGCTCGGAGTTTCTCTGCGTGATAAACTTAGAAATGAGGATATCCGCAGTAGAGCCAGAGTGACCGACATAGCCCAACGGATTAGTAAGCTGAAGTGGCAATGGGCCGGCCATATAGCTCGAAGAACCGACAACCGTTGGGGAAAAAAGGTTCTCGAGTGGCAGCCTCGTACCGGTAGGCGATGTGTAGGGCGACCCCCCACTAGATGGAGTGACGACCTGGTACGACATGCAGGAAGTCGATTGATGCAGGTAGCTCAGGACCGTGCTTTGTGGCATACCTTGGGGGAGGCCTATGTTCAGCAGTGGACTTGTGAAGGGCTGTAATGATGATGATGATGATAATCATTGTGTAGTGTTCGCGTAAATATAAGAAATCACTGTGTGGTTGTTTGTCACCCATCTACTAAAATTATAATTTGTTAATAAGTCTCACTTTTAATTTCCTTTAGATTTACATCAAGATTTAAAGGACGAAGATCTTGATGCCTTTTACAATTCAAACATGAAAGACAAACATATACCCAAAAACTTGGAAAAGGACGAACAAAATATTAAACGTGATAATGTTGTAATAAATTCAGAAAGTGAGTATTTGCGCGTTTATAACTTTCTCTGGTAGGCTGTGTCATGTTCGAACACTGATAGCTATAAGGTGGTGATTGGGTTCCTTGTTGATCAATTTACAAAAAGAGGAATTTTACGTGGTAGAGCGTAGAGCCATGCTGCAGTTATATTAGTAGTATAGTTGTAGCACGAATGGGTCGGCTCGACCGGGTAAGGACCAGCTTTCACAGAATACCAGCGTCAAATAGTAGCTTAATGCTGCTGTATTTCGTATGGTGAGTGTAGAGAACCGGGTACACTTTTTACTGAAAACGAGGCATTCCATCTTAGTCCTCACGGGTGACACCGCATCTGCATTTTGATTTGTAATCGAGGATAGATGTAGATGTAGATGTCTATGGGTCGCAGCAACCACTTACCTTCAGGTGGACTGTGTACTCGTTTGTCACCCTATCCTATTAAAAAAAGGAAGTTCTCAATTCAGCTGTATGTATATGTACTATACTACTGTTGCCACAGAATAAATAATAGTTACAAGACCAGAAGGATCACTCTCTGATAGCAATCTTTCGAGCTTAAACCTAGTTACAATGTCGCTCATGTTCATAATACTTTGCACGCCTCGGAAGCGACCTTCGTGAAATTCGCCTACTGATTAAAGCGCCAACGAAGAGTGTCAATGGGATATTTTCAATCTCTTCATTTTATCGACCAAGTGTTTAACCAAAAACCAGTATATGCTGATCTAGCATTAGTAGGGGTAGTAACTAGTACTGGGAGGTCTAGTGATTTAATATGGTATGAATTATAAAGACTATATATTATTTTTTCGTATCTCAGGGACAGCAAGAAGGAGATATTCTTTTATTAGTGCAGTACCTTTTGATTTTTTGAGAGGCCATACTTGAATAAAAACTCAAAAATAAATATCAAATGTGCCTAAATACTTATAAGAGATAAATACTTTTTGTTAACGTAAGGCGCTCTTCAGTTCAAGCGGGCGAGTGACAACCTCACTGAACTAGTACCTTGTAGGGGACCGAGCAGCGTAGGTATATTTTCAAGCCGAAAGCGCGGAGTGAGACAGGCCTGCTGTTACTAGAAATTTCTAAAATTGCGATCCGTGTTACTGTTGAGATCTTTTGCATTTACTAACACCTCTAAGGCAAAATTTGTGAGGCCTGGGCATATAGTCGTCATCGTCTTAATCATCATTTTGGTCCTTCATGAGTCCATCACCTGCATTCATACACTTCCTGCATATCTTACCAGCTGGGTTAGCCAAATTGTCTTTCTATAATCCTTATAGCTAATAAAAAACTATAAAAATGAACGGGAATGACATATTCCAATACTAAGTTATCTGACAGTTACATGATTTGACATTGATTTCATTCATTTTTATAGTTTTCTAGTAGTGTGGAAAATGAACCTGGTTAACCCTGCAAGATGTTACTCCATCTAATAGTGAATCGTCATACGTACTTCGCTTACCGATACGAGGCTGCCACTCTAGAACCTTTCCTCATTGGTTGTAGGTTCTTTGACCTATATATATTTATAGGATAGGATGACAAACGAGCACACAGTTCACCTGATGGTAAGTGGTTGCTGTAGCCCATAGACATCTACATCTATCCTTGATTACGAATCAAAATGAAGATGCATTGTCACCCGTGAGGACTAAGATGAATGCCTCGTTTCCAGTAAAGAGGATCTCCGGTTCTCTACACTCACCATACGAAATACAGCAGCATTAAGCTACTATTTCACGCTGGTATTCTGTGAGGCCGTGGTCCTTCCCTAGTCGAGCCGACCCATTCGTTTTACAACTAATATAACTGCAGCGTTGCTCTACCACGTATAAAATATGGCGGACACATTGTCACTTCAGCTTACTGATTCATTGGGCTATGTTAATAACTCTGGTTATACTGAAGAAATCATCTTTACGGATTCTAAGGCGCAGAGAAACTGACCATAACCCTCTTCATAACTCACCGAGAGGCTGAGCTTCCTAATTCAGCAGTGAAGGACCACGTCTCTATAAAATTAAATAGATCAAGAAAGCCATCTTAATAGCACGCTGAGCATCTATAGTATACTAATGAATCCATTTAGATTTATTTTTGGTCTACTTTACTTTTTAACTCCTATTCACACTTTCCACCATGATCATTCTTGTGTTGTTTACACTCACAAATTCATATTCACATTCAAATTTAAGATCTGGTATCTAGTTCTCTGTCCAAGCCACGCGATTATATCAAAATAACAGACCTCTCATTCCTAAAAGGATTTTAGTGCAAGATGGAGTCCGCCGTTCTTCTCCAATGCGTATTGGTAGACTTCACACGCCCTTGAAATTAATTTTTTACTCATATATGAGGGTTTTCTCCCTTTGTTTTCATTCATCACCGAACATGTGTTAAATCGGCACTAAAATTACAATTAACGTCAAAATTTCAAAAAATCTAACCTGATTTTACACATATTATAATATTTTACGGCTAGCGACTATCATCTGTGTTATACTGTTTTTATTATAGTAATAGAATAAAAATATTTGTTTTGTCACAGATAACTTTAAAATAAAAAAGTTTTACATAACAAGGGCACAATGTATGAAGGAATTAGCACAGAAGGCCAAGGAAAAGACTTTCCTAAACTCACCTTATAAATGTAGGCCTTGTGTTAAGGGTTTCACGTTTAAACCTAGTTATGATAAACACCTCGAATTACATAGTAAGGTAAGTAGTAAACACCGGTTGGCCATGAAGTTTTCTCTTCGAACCAAAAAATATTGAACATAATCGTATAGCATGTTATTTTAAAATATTATTTATACTACTGATGAAGTTTGGTCGCCAACTTTGTCATCCATCATTGATCAAGTTTTTTTAGGATTATTTCGTGTCCACTTCTTAATAATAATAATTACTTATTGCCTACAATTGAAAATTAATAATGTACGAGCAAGTTGCATAAGCTTTTATGTCAAATTGATACGTTGTTTTGTATGCCCATTTACATAACCATTCACATGTATGCACATATAAATACATATAAATAATTTTATCAAGTAATACTTGTCTATTCATAATCAACAAATATATAAATGTTTGTAGCAATCAAGTGCTCGTAGATGAAACGGTCCTTCGAGCCAGATATGAATCAGTGATTATGGGTAGCAAATATATAAATGTACGTAGCAGTTAAGTGCTTTTATAAATATTGTAATTTAATGAAAACTATATTCTAAATTATATTTTCCCCCATACATATGTTCTTACATTAACACCCGAGAAGATGAAGGAATGTCTCGTTAATGGTGTGGGCACGAATTCCATAATTTAATTCAATTTCTTTTCCATCTTGGCCGTGAGCGCGACTGCTATTCATGAGGTCCCAAGTTTCCTGAAAATTTAGGGTCGGGCTTAATCAGGTTTTTCGGTCTAAAATTTCTCAATCGCAGCCCGGAATTAAAAGTTGTCGCTGCTGCACCCCTATTGCTATGTATGCGCACACACTTTGGCACTATAATCCTGTCTTGCGCAGATGAATGGTTTCCTTTGAGACTGGCCATCATGACCGAAATTCGGTCTAGAGGACATTACCATTACGTTTTGCTCTTGAAAGTATATCAGATTAAAAATGCGCAGACTCCGATGTTAATAGAATTGACTGTACTTTAGCTGTTTGAAATATTTCTTACCAGCCGATGGGAGACTTTGAATGCGATGTTTGCACGAAAAGAATGGACACGGAGGAAAAGATGACGCGTCACAAGAAATCTCACAAAATGTAAGTATTATAAACTCCAGGCGAATTCTGGGCATCATCAATACAGCCCTTTACGGCCATTACTAAACAAAAGCCTACTCAAGGTACGCCTATACGTGGTAGAGCCACGCTGCAGCTATATTATGTTTGTAGCACTAATGGGTTGGCTCGACCGGGGAAGGAACACGCTCTCACAGAATACTGGCGTAAAATAGCAGCTTAATACTGCTGTGTTTCGTATGGTGAGTGTTGAGATCCGGAGACCCTTTTTTACTGGAAACGAGGCATTCCATCTTAGTCCTCAGGGGTGGTAACGCATCTGCGTTTTGATTCTTAATCGAGGATAGATGTAGACGTCTATGGGCTACAGCATCCACTTACCATAAGGTGCACCGTGTGCTCGTTTGTCAGCCTTATCCTATAAAAAAACGCCACAAAGAACGGTCCCGCACCTGCATTCTTCGACTTCATGCATGTCTTGCCAGGTCATCTATATAATGAGGTTTGGGGGCGCCTTATACTTCGTTTAACGTAATAGAAAATAATGTAGGTCTGAAATAACAAGTCATTATAACTAACAGTGTGGCCAACTTCGACTAACAAAAGGATGCTGAGTTGGATTTTCTAGAAAATCTAGTAATCAATTAAAAAGATTATAAAAAAACTCTTCACCCTATTTCGACCCGTGAGTGTCGTAAGATGCAACTATGTTAAAGGTCGGAATACCTCGTGGCCTGGGTAGACGATGGTACCTATATCACATCACCTACAGTGTAAAATCTATGTATAAAACGACACTCAAGGGACTGTGCATATTTTGACGTTACAGAGTTCTATTTATAAATGGAACGATGAAAAATCTATTGGAAACACTTTTTCGTCAATACAAAGTGATTTTATCTTACTTGCCGTGTTTACAGTTGGAAAGTCTGTAAGCAACTAAGAATATGATAACGTATAGATAATCCATTAGTCCTACTAACAACAGTCCACATGAAAGCAATCCCAGTTTGTAAACAAATCAACGTACGAGTATTTCTTAGAGAGTTTGGTATGTATGATGCCGACAGTTGAGTTTATTACGGGCTAGGATAGTATAGCGATAAAATAACGTACACAGCTGTGTAGTTTTTACTATTTTTTGCAACTTAAAAAATACTTTTTATTATTTAATTGTTGTCGTTATTGAGAGTGGGTTTAACACATTCTCTGCCGTCGGTCACGTTTTAAATGCAATACTCCGTACAAAGTGACCGACACGGCAGTCAAAGGCTTAAATATAGCGTGTATCAAAATATGGAAGTCAAACTAAACCAACCGAAGCAGAGTGATTTCGACACTTAAGGTGACCCTAGTCGATGGCACGAACTAAGTGGTGGGCGAGGTTAAAATGCATGCTATCTCAGCAGGCATCACGTGCGAAAGCGAAAGGTATGATGATTTACAACGAAACGAGCGCGCGAAATTTTATAAAAAGAACTTGGAAATCTGGATATCGTGAAAAATCTATTGAATGTATCAGTTCAAAATGAAATTATTTGCACTTTTGAACACCTAATCTATCCCTGTATGGTAACTGTTTTGCAATTTTCGTTCTTCTCATGGTATTTTTTTCCGCCCAAAGATGTGTTAAAATTAGCTCTTTTAAATATATTCTTTTTTTACTTTTTTTGTTTCCATACAGGGCTAGATAATGATGAGACAAATTGAAATAATTTTTTATTTTGAACGTACACCATCAAACAGTGGAGTAATCGCCAGACTACGTTTGTATGGAATGAGCGACTAGTGTACGCTTAAGGGAGTTTGTCATAAAATCGAGTGACGTTACGTGGAATTTACACTGTATATTATTCTATCGGGAGTAGCCCAGTATTCCTTGCGTGTACATAGAGGTTTATATTTTACAGGCGTTTCGAATGTGGCGTATGTGGGTTAGTTCGTATAACTATGTCGGCAATCACTGACCATTATACAGAGCACCATTCGACCGGGACCGAAGATTTCATATGCAAACTATGCTCTAAGACTTTCAAGTAAGTTTGAGTTGAAGTTATATAATATCCTCTAGACCTAATTTCGTTGCCAGTCTTTACACAGACTAGCCATATATATATATATATATATATATATATATATATATATATATATATATATATATATATATATATATCACTGTGCAGGATAGGATTATAGTGTCCAAGTATTTACGGAAGCACAGGTGAACTCTATTCCCTCTCTTATAGACATGGAACGGCAATCGGACACGACCGGAAAGTAATCAGGTGCAGGATCAACGTCTTTACATGCTTTCCATGGCACTGAGGTGAAACGCCGCCAACTTTCTGAGTCCGGGTAACTTCCAATAACTTATTTTGGCTCGCCCCGCGATTCGAAACTAGGACCTCATAATCAGCAACCGTGTTAACGATCACAAGACCAATGAGGCAGACCATCGAATACTATAATACATACATAATAGAACGGGGGAGTGGGCGGAGCCCGTGTAGCCACTAAAATGCCACAAGACGTCAATTCACACGTATAAATGTCAACATGAGATGTGTTTTGACGTTACAATCGTTTCCAAATTTCGCATGCAAATTATTTTTGAATAAGCCAAATTGCACGCTATTTACAAATAAATATGTATTAAAATCCGTCTGTCAACACAGCGAATCGGGTTTGTAGTAGTGATTAACTGATAACACGACGTAATTGTTTGTATGTGTGCTCCCGGCGACGCCGAACCTCAGTACAAAATAAGGTTGACAGCCATTCTATTGTGTATTATATTATTCTATGAGGCATACAAACGCTGGGCATCAGCCTCATTTCTGAGGGGGATGTGTGGTAGCAAAATCTCCGCATTCCTGCTCCAGTTTAAGAGTAGCGTCACAGTAAATAGCTAACAGTTGTGAAACGCCTTTGATGCCAGGCGATGCCGCCGCCCGCGTAGGTTTTTACGCGGCCAGTGTGTATGCTAGAGATTGTCAAGGAATTGAGGATAAAAATATTTTGGATATTATAATACTCATTATCAATTATTGACATTATGTTCATACTTATAAGTTAAAAACATTTATTGAACTAGATTATTTTTATTGCTACATGAAAAATACATTTACGATCACGCGTCAACCGCATATATTGTACAGGAGGCTTAGTGCTATATCAATATATATAACGCAGGATTAGTGCGCTGGCACACAAGCTTGGCCCGTCCCCTGCCTTGCAAGGCCAGAACATTACCAATGAATTCGAAGTCAATATAATACGTATTACTGAAGATAACTCAAAACTACTGATTTCTTATATTTAAGCGAACACTACACATTGATTAAAACTACTTTTACGGATTTTATTACGGACGGACGGTATTAAAAAATAAAATAAATAAACGCGATAAATTCGAATTCGAAATAAGATCCGTAAAAGTAGTTTTAATCAAAAACTACTGATCAGATCTTAATTAAATTAATATATAAATATGGGACCACACGAGAAGCACCAGCTTTCAAATAAAAAAAGAATCATGAAAATCGGTTTACCCAGCGAAAAGTTTTGTGGTAACACGCATAAAAAAGAAACATACGGTCGCGTGAATACCTCCTTCTTGAAGTCGGTAAAAAGATGTTGTCGCCACTGAGGCCTAAGGTGGAATGCCTCACAGCCTGTAATTATACTGCTTCTATACCTCACTTCCCGGAACACAGTAGTGAAAGCACTGCTATTTGGTGACTGAACTGGTTAGATAGTAGTACCTACCAAAGCGGCCTTCTCGATAGAATACTGACCATGTTTTGGTTACCTTTCAGGCGTCAAATATTATTGAGAAAGCACAATTATTACTGGCATAATAACAAGGAACGGGTGACCTGTGCCTACTGTGGGAAGACGTACGCAAACAAGGACGTCCTCAAGTCCCATATTATTGCGTGAGTTCATTTAGTTGTTACTAATGCCGAGTTTCTATATTTATAAAACGCTTCGTTTTCATTTACGATCAGTTTTGCAGTAATAGAAGTGCATGAAAAGCCCTTTTTTAAAACAAAACACCAGTTCAACTATTTATGAACCGTTTAAGGTTTTTGTTTCTTTTTAAGTTATTCTAAGTAGTTTGTAATAAAAACTGTTTTTACGCGCACCTCGTGTGAAAAATGGCTCAGAAGAGATCAGATATAGTGCAAAATTATCCAATACTTTAAAAAATCTTGGTAAATCCAAATGTTATATATACCTCAATTTTTAAAGCATTTTAAATACACACTTTTCACGAATAACTTTATTTAACATAACTTCTAATTTTCCGATAATTTCATGTCAAATGTCAATAAAAAAGTTTCGAAAATCCAAAAGTACACGACTCATAATGCTTATATGATCGTTAAAAATAAAAAAAAATCTCGTTCAAAAATAGTAAATATTTTTTTTAATTTTACTGTTAATATTATTGATATTCAAAAAAAATATTATACATAATTGAAAAAATCTTAACAGAACTATCTTAAAACGACCAGAAATCTTATCGAATTTTTAGGTATACTCAGGCATTATAGTAAAAACTAGTCTTTTTACCTACTCGTTACAATTTTTTTTTCATCAACTTTATTTCGTTTTCAAAGAATTTTTCATCTAGTCATAACCAGTATTTTAATTTAGTATTCACCAAAGTACACCTTTAGGTCACTCCATAAAGTCCAGACGTGTAAGTATGTTTATATATAAATCCTATGTACTTTTAGCGAAACAATATATTATAATAGTAATAATATCTTACCTTGGTCAAGTATGTATCAACTTTGGTTTTTGGAATATTTTGTATTTCTACAGCGATCGGTATTTATATTCAGAATCAAACGATATTGTTACCCACTGACGACGGCGGCCGAGCCCGGAGTGAGTCAAAGTAAAATATAATTATTACAAGGCTGCGCACGACACCGAAAATTTCGGAATTTATCAGCCAAAAAAATTATAACTAAACAAAACAAAGTTAAACAACTATTTACATTCCATGACTTCATACATGATAGATTAAGATATTAAAAAATAGATTGAGTTTAACAATTGATATTTTAAGTTAAGTTTAAGTTATAGTGTTTAACACTCCATGCGGACTTGATAAATCTACACCATAAGCCACTAAAACCAATTTAATGTAAAAATAGCAATTAAACGATTAAAACAATAATTTATCTTTCTGACAATGTTATTTTAATATCATTTATATGTATGTTCAGTATGATTGTTTGATACGATTTCTTGGGAAAAGACCTTGAATTTTTGATTTTTAGGCGCTAATAGAACATAACTACGCGCTTTGCGCTTAAGGCATGCAATTAATTATAGCATAATATTGCTGAATATAATAAGAGTAATATGACTTCGTCACAGTTAACCATGATTAAATGATGTCCGATCGTTGCACAGACACTACAGCGGATATAGCTGCAGGCTGCCACTTCGACAGTGGTCACAGCCTAAAAAGAACATGCAGTCAGCCATCGGGTTTGATGATGTCGGCAAAGCAGACATAAACAATAAACTGCTAGGGTTGTCAGAACTAGAAGTAATAAAAAAATGATTTTATTTTATTTCACGTATAAACGAATTCCTGTATATGTGGACCTGATGAAATTTTAATTCCTTGTCTTTAAATGAGAGTGACCCCACAATTTTTACCGCTCATGTAGTGTGAATTATTTTAATTTTTTTGCGTGACAGGACAACCCTAGCGCTCCGCCCACACCGCACGATTGCCCCGTCTAGACGCCTTCGATGACCGACTGTTAGTATAGTCACACCTCGGAAACTCCGAGTGGTGACAGTACTTTTGCCAAGTGTTGTGCCAGCTTATAAGTTGGTGAATCGATCTGGCTCACTATAGGACGTAGTGGAGCGTTTGGTTTGTGTATCTTTGGTAACCCATACAACCTCGGTGGTTTGGTACATGATGGTATTAGCGAATTCGCGTAAATTTAAGAAATCATTATATATAGAACTTCTCCGAACTATCACTCGGAGCATTGGCCGCTCCCCGGGCAGAACACCTTGCCCGGCGGGAGATCTCCCCTTTTCCTACCACGGCCACAGTGGTGACCCCGACGTGATCTGAACACGCAACCAAAGAACCTTCGGAAACTTCAAGCTTTATCATCGTCATAGAATACCCCACCCATTCACTCCCGAGCAGATATCGTCTGCAGTCTTCATATCCTGTAACCCATCTAGCTTCACAAGGTTCATCGCAGCACTGGAATAATAATGCTTCCTGTTCCTTCAAGCTACTCTCTACGCTATACAGTGTTCGGCACGGCTCTGAGCCTTACTGCTCGCCTCTGCTTCACGGCGCTCTCGCAGATTACTTGCCTTCTTCTCGACTCACCGCAGACTACAAGGCAATCTCCTGGCACTTGCACATTCGTCGGCAACGAGGCTACACTATCGACCTCCGGTCTGAGCAGGGGGGTGATGTAGCGGCGCTGTCGTCGCGCCACTAGCACACCGAAACACACCGAAGCCTAAATCGCGCTATTAACATTCCGAATCATAGACAGTATATATAGAACTTCTCCGAACTATCACTCGGAGCATTGGCCGCTCCCCGGGCAGAACACCTTGCCCGGCGGGAGATCTCCCCTTTTCCTACCACGGCCACACTATAAAATTCACCCACAACTTTGAAAAATCAATGCAGCACTGGACAACTACATTAAAAACCATAGGAACTTCTTGTACAGAAACATCAGAAAACGTCGAGGAATCTTCCAAGAGGATGCGCTTAGCCTTGTATGGTTCTGTCTCGCATTAAACCCTCTCTCGCAAATGCTGAACAAAACCAATTATGGTTACTCTATCAACACACCACACAAACACATCACTCTAACACACCTGATGTACATGGATGACATAAAACTATACAGTAACACTACAAAGTCATTGCATCGCCTCGCAGACATCACCCAATCTTTCTCAAACGACATTCATATGGAGTTTGGGATCGACAAGTACAAAACTTTCTCGGTTAAAAATGGAAAAATTAACCCCAACAGCTATAGCCTAGTAACAGGAGACACGATTGAACCTCTAGAACTCCACGCCTCATATAAATACTTAGGTTTCCAACAAGCGCGACAGATCCATCAAAAGGAAACGAAAGAAGGTCTCAAAAAGAAATTTAAAAATCGGCTCAATAGCATATTCCGGTCTCAACTCAACTCCCGCAACATGTCAAAAGCAATCAATAGTTACGCTATCCCCATACTGACATACTCCTTTGGTATAATAAACTGGACTCAAGGTGACCTTATCAATCTGCAACGTATTATAAGTACTTTCTTACGTTTCTTTCGTACTTTCAAGATCCGAGGGAGGACGAGGTATAATAGATGTCCTCAACTTGCACAATAAACAAATCAAATCCCTTCGACAATATTTCTCAGAACACTCACTTCTTCACGAAATAGTAACCTTAGCCGACGAACGCCTCACACCACTTAACCTCGCGGACCGAAACACACAACGCAGTGAACGGATCACTGACGTAAAAGAGAAGATGGCCTCACGGCAACAGAAGTCCCTACACGGAAGGCACTACCACGACCTGCAGCTGTCACATGTCGACAAAAAAGCGTCGAACGCCTGGCTGAGGTGAACTCTTCCCAGAAACGGAGGCATTCATGTTAGCGATCCAGGACCAGGTCATCGATATCCGAAACTTCCAGAGACACATAATACGTATACCTAACCACCCCACTGATACTTGCAGACATTTCCACTCTAGCCCCGAAAACATACAACACATAACATCCGCCTGTAGAGCCCTTGCACAAACCGACTATAAGCATCGGCATGACCAGGTCGCCTCCATAATACACCAACAATATCTTGCCCTTAAATTTAAATTCATACAAAAAATGACACCATATTACAAATATAAGCCGGACATCATATTAGAAAACAATAATCATAGAATCTACTGGGACAGGACCATTATCACGGATAAAACTATTCACTTCAATAGGCCCGATATCACAGTGTATGACAAAAATAACAAAACTACTTACCTTATTGACATTGCCATACCAAACACCCATAACATTCAATCGACCTTAGCTTAAAATCTTACAAAATATCAAGATTTAGCTATAGAACTCAAGCCTCAATGGACAGCAGAAACCATCCATATAGTCCAATAGTTATCTCATCTACCGGAGTCATACCTAAAAGCCTACAACGCAGTCTAGATATTTTACAAGTACCCCTTACACACACTTCACACCCTGCAGAAAGCCGACATTCTCAACACCTGCCGACTCACACGCAAATTCCTCACAACGTCATCCGTCACCTCTGTTTACACCATCACCTAGCACCTGATCACGCTTGGCTTCGGCCCGTGTGATTAGGTTTTAAACTACCTCTTTAATAGGGAGAATATAGATATATACAAAATAATAATAATAGTCTTCCAGACCTAATTTCGGCCATGGTGGCCTGCCTCATCGGAAGCTAGCCATCGGCGCAGGACAGGATTATAGTGCCCAAGTGTATGCGCAAGCACAGGTGCACTCTCTATTCCCTCACTCTCGTAATCCGATGGGACGGTAAACCGACACGACTGGGAGAGAGATCAGGCGCAGGACCGACGGCTTTACGTGCTTTCCGAGCCACGGGGGTGAGACACCGCCAACTTCCTGACTCCGGACAGATACTGAGAATTTCTTGACAGAAAAATTCAATAATTGATTTTTGGCCCCACCCGGGATTCGAAGCCAGGACCTCATGATCAGCAGTCGCACTACTACAACTGAACCAACGAGGCAGTCCTACCTTTTACTACATATGCAAATAAGGCATCAATATGCATTAGGTCAGAAGAGCAGTCATCTATGACTACCCTGATCGACCGTTCACTCAGAAAGTCAGATATCCA